GCGTTTCTTGTGATTTCAGATAAAGCTTCAAACAACTGGCAATCATGATTTTAAGCCACAATAAGGCCAAGTGTCGCTACTCTGAAGCGTAGCTTATTTAATGACACTATTCATGCTCTTGCTCAAGAGGCTTGTAATACCTGGAGGGGCCATGACGTAAGCCCCGTGGATTCCACATGCCACTACCTTTTGACACCTGCCTCTTTATTGCTTCCGCTTGTGCCAGTAAATTAGCTACGGTTCAGAGTAACGACACTTGGCCATATTGTGGCTTAAAATCATGGTTGCCAGTTATATGAAGCTCTATCTAAAATCACAACAAACGCTTCTCCGTCCTTCACAAATGTTTAAAAAATCCGCAACAGAGCATTGCAATATTGCATGAGCTTACTAGCACCGCATCTAATGCTGAGGAAGTCGCACTTTTGGATCATGATGATCGGCAGTTGCTTTTGCTCTGAGCAAGACCCAAAATGGCGGCGCCCGAAACAATTTCGGGGAACGGAGTGCCGATACTTGAAAGCTCATTTAGTGACTCTAGGCATAAAGGGAACTCGGGTGTATTCTTTTCCTCTTCGTCTTCATTGTTTATTGATTTCAAACATATCGAATAATGAACACATTATATCACGCTACGCTTGTGTAATTATTTGTCTTAGATTTATTAGCCTGACCAAGTGCTTAAACCATTCAGTTATCGATAGTAAATTGTCCAATATATTTTTTTAAATGTGAGGGTAAAAAGACACGGAGATTGATGATGATACAGACGCCAGCGCCGCCCTCGGAAATTTTTTGAACACTAGAAATCAGCAGTTTGTCTGCAATCCGCCAGGTGGCGCAACAAAACACCCAAACACTTTTTAATTGTTTTTAAAATTAGCTAAGTTGTGCACCTATTAAGAAACCAAAGCAAGATCATTGTGAAAATTTAATACATCGCAATGTATATCTATTCCTAACAATAAATATTATTAGATGCCTATAAATCTGCTTGATGTCCAAAAAAAATATGCGTCAAAACAGGTAAGTTTGAAACGCTCCTGGAGCGTTATGAATTTGAAAATGGAAAAAAGCCATCGTCCATCTCTTGGGCAACCAGTGCAGCTCTAAATGTTATAAAAGATTTTATCATAGTTTAATTATTTCCTCAGCGGCATTCGAAGTACCATGACTCGAAGCACAAAAAAGTGCTACGTTTGATATAAAATATCGAAACAAAAAATTTTACGCAACATTAAATTTTTTTTGCATATTACCAATTATAAGCACTACATCTGTAGCTAATTTCATTGCCCTAGCGCGTGTCATTATAAAATATTTGTGCTGAAAAATGTCAATTTTAGGGCAATATTTGAAGGGATGAAAAAAAACAAAGTAGTGCAAATACCAAAAAAGTGTATCGTTCCATTCTGCTCCGACATCATCTTAACAAAAGTGCTATATTGGAACCGTGTTATCTTTAATGGATCTTTCATGAAACATGAACTAGCGGAGCAAGTGAGGGTCCGCGCCATCATATTCGCAACGCGAAAAATGCGCATTAACAGTAAAAACCAACACATACATAATATCAATTGAAAGAGGATTGCATTGCCTTTCGAATGACATCAATCCCACAAAGCAGGATTTAAAAGGAGATGAGTAATGACCTGCCAAAAAGTACCTAAATTGCCACATTCAGTGGTACCGTGGCCTTAATTTATATTATTTTTTATGTTTGTCGAGAAAGATATCGCGGAAAAATTGGTTTCGATTCCGGATTGCGACTAAAATAGGCATGCTCGGTAGCGGTTGGTACATATGAAAATACAAGCGCATGTTTTCATCACCACAGGACATTGATGCCGTACGTGCTGCTCGGTAGACTCATTTCGTGCCCGTCATTACGTCCGTCATAGTGGCACACACCACACAAGTGAGTCTGTTTGATTCGATTATCTCCAACGTGTTTCCTCTGAGGTATTGTTATCGGGACACGGGAAACAATCTGAAACTCCTTTTGTCGTACTATGACAGTCTCCTGTACTGCATTCGCACCTCTCTGGTTAATGATACCCGATTTAGTTACAGTGTTTGTTTCCGAACAATAAAGTATCGTTGGACACCCCCGTGTGGTGTTTCCTTTTCGTCAAATGCTACACGTAATGTTTCAGGGCCGACTTGCTGCCGAGAACAGAGAAACTCTACCGGTGACGGTACGCGTTCGAAGTTGGGACAAGCAACTTCATCTCGTGCCTTACAGGTACAGACATACGCAGCTCTAGGGAAGGAGACGAATCATTTCCCTACCTGAATATATTTATTGTGCGTTGCGCCACATTATGTATAATACACAGCATTTCGCTATATTTTACCGATCACCACCAAACCGCACAGAAACCTAGACCGTGCATTGGTTAGGCCTACGTCAACCACACCGATCCCCTCAGCTGGACCTAAGCGCGTCTCAGGGTTTAGAATTTCAGTAAAGTACATACCATACGTTCAAATAAGCAAGACAAAATGTGGTTATATGCAGTAACAGAAACTAAAAATAACACAACTGACGGCATTTGCGAGCTTTACGACAAGGTTCACGCTGCCGTCCGCAACCAGCGACGAATCTCCGAATCTGCCGAATATTCGTCGCGAGAAGTTCGAAAATTTCCGAATCTGTCCTAATCCGAATCTCCGGTGATTCGTCCCATCACTAGGGAGTTGTAGTAGATCGTTTTTCTCCTCCGCTACGCTATTCCCAAAGAAAACGCCGCAGCTGTGCATGCTCGCCGCCAGCCTTGTCTGCATAGTTCAAGGTCTTGTGGTGGATAACGGAGCGCTATCCGGATGCTTGGCGGGCTGCGGGAACGGTCTACCACAATTCCCTACTATTTGTGACTAGTGGACGCTATGAATGAGGTCAACCCGGGCTTCCGCGACCTTCAACAAGCATCGATATAGAGGGAACATCCGTTACCTAAAGGGGACAAGTATCACCGGCGAGTGACAAAGGCCGTGTAACAGAACATTTCCTCGACCCCAAGCCAAAGTGCATGCATGTTTTCACAGTGCCTGTCCTAGATGCCTTTTCCCCTAGGGTCCAGCAAACTCTCCCCAACAATGAAAAAAACAGGATCTGTGGAAACATACGAGTGAAAAGCGCTTTGACTGTACGCCTGGGGGCACAAGGCTGCCAAACCTCAAGCTTTTCTATATCCTTTCCATCTTCCTGGGGAAACGTGGAAATGGGCGAGAGGGGGGGGGGGGGGGGGGGAGGTCCCCTTACGAGGGATCCGCGAGCCGCGCCGTGACCAGCAAAGAGCCGCATGCAGCTCGCGAGCCGCGGTTTGGCCACCCCTGCTCTAGATAATAGGCCGCCCGCGATCTTGTCGAGAGAGTCTCGCCCCAGCGTTCAATTCAGCTGTTTCGCCAACTTCGACGCACGCGACGCTCTATTGTTATTTTCTGTTTCCTCTTTTACTTTGGGCACAAGTTCGCCATCCATTAAACGTTTATTTCTTCGCGTTTATTTATTGTTCTTTCGGTCACCATCCGTGACAGTATTCACGCTTTGGCTTTTTTTAAGTCTGAGTTCAATTGCTTTCTTATACTATTAAAATAATTCAGCATGTTTATGTCACGATCCCTGATAAAAGCGTGAAACTTCTTATCCTTATCCTTTATTCTTTTTAGCAGGTCAGCAGTCACCCAAGGTTTTCTTATTTTTTTTATTTCTTACTTTTGTTTCCTTCAGAAAAAAAACCTGTATCAAAGCAGTTTTTGAATTTTACTAGAAATATTTTATAGGCTACCATGGCGTTGCTTTCGATGTAAACGTAATCACAGATTTCCTCTCTTATAAAGGAACTAAAGTTGCTTACAGTCTCTTCGCTTATTGCATGATGCCAAAATGTATTTGAGTTTCTTACACGGGCCATTTCAGGAGTAGATCTCAACCGAAAAATTGGATACTCTTAAGTATCCGAAACGTATAATGCAGAGCAATTTAATTAAACTATTTTTCGTTGAAGTTCGTTGCGTGAAATATTTAGTTTACTTAAGTTACATCAAAACGCGAGCAGAATGGAAGGGCCACTGGAATACTCGTGTGTGCCACGCCCCAGCACGAGATTTGGATGTAGCGTGTACTTCTCGGCCGTGCATCACTGCTGCGTGGTGCACGTTAAAAACCCCAGGCTAGCAGTTGTACTGCACTGGCTAAAATGCTTATCTACAGGGGGTAACAATGTCGACAGCTTCAGGCCGACTAACCTACTGCTGTATAAACAACTAACGACAAATTTGACTTTTTGACTGCGTTACTGCAACTTCTCTTGTGCTGCACGAGAAAGAAAAATATGTTCCTTCGGTGGTGAAATTTGCGCTGAAGTAGGAAGCAAAAAAGAAGAAAAGAGAATACTTCCCTCAAGTGGGGTTCCTAATAGAAGAGGAGGAAAAAGAAAATCAGTTGTTAGTCCCACGGTGTGTATGGACTTTTCTTTATGTCTATGTTTATTCTAGTTAAACTGGCCTTACCTGAAGTAGTTGCTTTAAAATAAGGTATATCTCTCTTTCTCTCTACTTGAAGTATGGACCAACAAGCTCCACTTAAAGCCTGTTACCGTTGCTTGGTTTTTCGCTCAGCCAAATCGCTTATATGGGATGCACTCAAATGAAAAAACAACCGTGTTGAATCGTGTAAGAGTCTTTAGAATATTTATCGATCACGCCGCTGAACTGCATGGCTCGGCGAACTTCCTTTTTGTGAGCGCCTTCTCTGCTTGAGTTTGCTAGAAACAGCCACTTCGATCCGAGGCAATCGATGATAGCGTTGGTGACATCACCAAGTACACGACTCACAAACCACTGGTGGACTCCAGTGTTTTTGCCAACGGATGAAAGCCGAGCTGGTTATTGACAACACGGTTTCCTGAATTTGCAAAAAAAAGAAAAAAAGAGCACAGAGACCTAGAACCCAACCTAACCTATTGGCCCCGAGCGGGACCGATTAGAGCGCTGCGATCGCTCGACCGTGACGTAGGATAGGGGATCACGTGATAAGGACGGTTATTCTGCCTTGCTTTGGTCGGGGTATTCGGGAACCGTTCGGTCGTTATTTTCGTGTTTTTTTCTGTGTTTGGAGCCCGATTAGTTCACGCGTGGATCGGCTTCGGCAGCCGTCGTGCTCAGGAAGCAATGGTGAAGTACTGTTCGGTGCCGCAATGCCGCAGTTACGCGACCGACCCGAACGTCAGCTTTCACATCTACCCCAAGGAGAAGCAGCTGCGCACGGAGTGGCTTGTGAAGTTAAGAATGGGCAAATTAAACTCCAAGAGCTCGACAGTGTGCAGCAAGCACTTTAGAGATGAAGACTTCGTGTATGCGGTTGGAGCGAAGATGTTTGGTAAGTGTTCTCCAGTTATTTCTGTGAACCTCCACAAAAAGGGGGGGATTTTGTTGGTACCCGTGGGAGATCGACGCTCTTGCATTTTGCACGTGAGCTGCAAACACAAAACGTTTTCGCAGAGAGTGATATCACGCATGCGTGTATCTAAGTGCTTAACACTCGTTAGTTTTCCTGGGCCACGACGCCCCAAAGTCACGCGAGCGAACTGAGCAAAGCTGGCGATCAGACGGCCGAGATCGACGCATGCTCACGCTCCGTCGTGATTGATTTTCTTCCTTTTTTTCTCGTCAGGCTGGAAAAAAAGGACACTCGCCCCAGGAACCGTGCCGTCCCAGAATCTGCCTTTACGGCCACTGGACAAGCCCCCGAAGCTGCGACAGCCCCTGAAGCCGCGGGCAGGTGTGGACACATGCAAGCCTCGCCGTGAGTGCTCTCGTTTGTAGGGAACATTCGTGGTATCAGTGGATGCTGTGTGATAAATAACCAGATTTTAAATATTTGACTCCTGCATACCTGTTTACTTTTTTTGTTTTGCAGTCATCAGAAGATAAAACATGGTCGTGTCTATTTCAGTCCCAGTGCTGAGCTGTAATTTTAGGTTTTTCTGTTTTTTTTTTTACTTGGATTTAACAGCCAAGGATGACCTGCCAGCAGCAGTTACATTGGCAGGGCTGAACTCCGAAGAAGCCAGCACCAGTGAGGGTTTGATTGAGCAGGAACTACCCAACCAGGATGCCGATGCTGCAGATCCCATTGGTGAGGAGAAAGCAAACATTGCATGCCCAGTGTGAGTCATGTCAGCCTAATTCTAGTTGATACCAGAGTTGTTTTTTAATGTTTCAGGTCTTCAGGCTGAACTTCACACCTTGAAGAAAGATGTCGGAAGTCAAGCGGACACACTACAGCTTGAGAAAGATCAAGTGCTCGGGATAGCACGGGTTAAGAATGAACCGGCCCTCGTATCACTGACATGCATACCCTGTTTGTAGCTATTCTATAACATCTGCGACCTGTATGGGGAATCTCGCTTATTGAGCCAGAGGAAGGATTTCAGCATCAGTAACGAGGACGCAGTACTGCTAACAATGATGAAGCTGTACCACAATCTGACGTTTTCCCTTCTTGGGGTACTGTTTGGGGTCCATATGACGACAGCTTCCAACATATTTAGAGCGTCGGTACCGGTCCTAGCAGCAGTGCTCAGGCACGCCGTTTTCTTGCCTGTAAAGGAGGCTGTGCTCCAGTCCCTGACCAAGTACTTTAACAAGTACAGGGACTGTCGCATGGTGCTCGACTGTACAGAGATTCCTCTGCAAAACCCGAAAAACCTGGAGTCTCAACTACTTACCTACAGTCACTACAAGGGAACCCACACTGCAACGGTGCTTGTGTGCGAGACGCCAGGTGGCTTAATTAGCTATGTGAGTCCGGCATACTGTGGCAGATCCTCCGACACGCATATCACAAAGGAGAGTGGGCTTCTAGAGAAATGCCTGCCCTTCATCGACAGCGTAATGGTCGACAAAGGGTTCTTAATTGACGAGCTGTGTTGCGAACACAAGGTAAAGTTGGTTCGTCCACCATTTCTCCGTAAAAACACACAGCTGAGCAAATCTGACGCCGCAAACAACCAAAGCATCGCAGCCGCACGCGTCCATGTCGAGCGTGCAATTCAGCGAATGAAGTTGTTTCGTATTCTTCGGGACAATTTCAGCGCAGACCTCCTTCCGCAAATCGATGATGTTGTCGTCATCATTGCAGGTCTCGTGGACCTCTCAAAGCCCTTGTTCAGCAACGACAAATTTTTAACTGGTTAATACATTGCTGAACAGGACACGATAGCGTTTTCTTTTAGCTGCCTGTTTAAACGTTGACGTTAATCTGTAGATCACATAATGGGCAGTTCAAACATGGCATTCCACTGTCATTTGTGAAGAATGAGTTCTCTTTAGCAGGGTAGTAAGAAAGTATTGTTCGGTCACAGACTGTCACTAGCCAAGAATTTCCTTGTTAACTTCGTTCAAGGTACTCTTCCCCTGTGCCACATTGGAGAAAGGTTGTCAAAGCACAGAAATGAGTCAATATTTCTAGCTCGTGCATTTAGACACACAAGCCATTCAACAGCCTTGTAAGATATGTTTCTATGCCAATTTAATTTTGCAAATTTGATGTCATGCATACTGTAATAAATGAATGTATTAGCACGTGCTTGTTGCCATCCTTTTGTTTATTTGCTGGCTTCAAATGCATATCTAATGTTACCACACTGGCCCTTTTTGGGGCCCACTACCACGAGTATGAACATGCCAGATTCTTCAGCGTGTCAAAAATGTACTTGTCGTAAAGGGTGTGCACTGCAGCCGAACATTTAAGGAAATGTGCAGCATCAAATGGCACGGTAAGTGCCCTCCAGTCCTCTGGACTCTTGTAGACGAAAAAGTCACACACTGGAATATTCATTATCCCCATCTGGACCTGAACCAGTGTGTAGAACAGGGGCGTCGGCTTGTCCTTTGAGAAAGCTTTCTTCACCGTGTTGAGGCACTTGATTTCTAAAATACGCTTCTCACCCTTGCAGCAGGCGCAGGTGAAAGTAACGAGCCCATCCACGCTACAGCCCATCACGGGAAACTCGTTCCAAATCAATAGGCCCCTGTCTTCCACAGTGCATGTGTGGCCCCTCGACTTCACAACCGAGACATACTTGTCCCGCGCAGTGCCTTCCATGCTCAGCCCGCGCTGCATTGCTGCAGACTGGTATGTGCTCGTGCGGAGGACCGCCTTCAACAAAGGCCCCATGTTGTGCGGCATTTGCTCTATCTCGCACTTCGCTGCCCTTGTTTTGAAGGAACGGCAGACTGTACTGGTTGCCATGCCTATCCTCTGGCGCAACCAGTCCTCAGATAGCGACTGTTCCCTCGTCCTCTCCTCGATTACCGCACAGACGTCTGCAGAGAAGGTGGCCCTTATCTCCTCCACAAAAGCATCGAAGCTGGGAGCAGCAGTTGTGGCAATCAGCCGCGTAAGTGTGGGCAGTCCGGGGACAGGGGGCTCCTCAGCTGCGGTGGGGGCGGTTGATATCTCTGCAAACATGCAAATAAACAGGGAATATTGACACATTACACACTATAAAGGTGATAGGAAAGAAATTGGTTGTTGGAATGCAAAAATGAAATGCTAGGAAACAGTTCTATGTACAAAACACAAGAGGACTAATTATGACCAGTCTCATTGCTGCCATAGTGAATACGTTGAATAAGCCTGGTACTAATATGCGAGCATACGAGGGCCATTAAAAAAGTATCAGACCTAAATGTGTTCTGCATAAACAAATGAAGTGCAGACAGCATCTTCTGGTTAGAGAAGTGGAGGGAACATTAATGTGTATGTGTGAATTTTATCAGGCCCGATGAAAATGTGAGTTGTTTTCAGTCAGCCTCCGAGTGAGAAATTGTAGTCGCTGCTCGTCGTTTTTTTCCGTAACTCGAATAGGGTTCCTTTCAGCGGCATTTTCATCGTAGGGAAGAGCCAGAAATCACATGGAGCCATGTTGAGACAGTAGGAAGCCTGTTTTGGCCAAAAAAACTCAGACGCAAGGAATGAGCTGGTGCACTGTCATGATGCAGCTCCATCGTGAGAAACTTCGGCACGATTGCACGAAGTTGGTTAATCACCAGATTATTTTGGCTTGTTGAAGGCCTCTCCCCACTGACATGCAGTCATCTTTGATCTGGTTGTACCAAACCTTAATGTTTTTTTAATGCCCATGGCATCGTCCTCGAACTCCTGCTGAATATTTCGAATTGTTTCCACTTGAGTGTGAGCAAGCTTGAATCAAAATTTGATGCAATACCTCTCACTCAAACTACTTTGTCATGTTGCAAAAAAACAAAAAAAAAAAAACAAAAAAAAAAAACGACGAGCATTAACTACACGTCATCACTCCGAGGCTAACTGCCTGCGACTCACATTTTTTGCGGGCCTGATAAAATTCTTGCATGCGCATTAACGTTCCCTCTGCCTCCCCACCAGATAAAGCTATCCGCGCTTCATTTGTTTCCACGGTACTAATTCAGGTAGGATACTTCTTAAACAGACCTTGTACACCAATTAAGCATGTAGTGGCATACTTAATTGGTGATGGTGCTCCAGGCACACTTTCAGTTTAGAGTTGTGGGCCAGGAAAGTCACCTGCACCTGGCAATCTGGTTTTTTGTAGAAATCTGCCTATGGCAGGATGACAGAGCACATTGCTCAACTAGACTTAAGCCTCAGCCACTTTAAACATATTGTACTAAGGAACATTTCTGGTTGCTTTTCTGGTTCGCTTGACATTTTTTTCTCTCCTTTGCAGTCACCTGTTACGACATATTGGATATTAGTGCTTCCACTCAAATCTAATATATATATGGCGCAATCGCCATGCCTTCGGAACCTAGTACCTGTACTTTTTATTATCAACTCTGTAACTTTTGTGAGTCAGGCATGCACAATTCAGAATGTAAACATATTAAGGTTGGAGTCCCCATCCGTTGAGCGTACTGCTCACAGCTGTGTCAATTTATCACAGCCACCGATCTAAGTGGTGTACATTTATCTAGGGTTTCAATGTACACAAAAATTCTACACAGATAAATATACACAGGAGTGTACATTTATCTTGGGTTTTTTCTGCTGTGATCCAAACATCCTGCATGGCCTGTACTGAGCACAGCTTCTATCCCGTGTCGTGTGAGGCATGCCACCACTGATGTTCGTCGGATACTGAGAGAATCGATTCATAAAGTCTCTTAAGAATGACCAACAAACAGCCAAAAACCAACTGTAGCAAAGACAATGGGAAAGAGAAAGAGGAAATGCAGTTCATGAACCAACCAAGAGGACGGATTTCTTCGGTGTGCCGCAGGGCAGCTGACCTATAAGTCAGTCCCTCCAGTAGTCGACCCAGGATATCGCCTTTAGGAAGCAGGACCGGATCCCCTTCAACCTGAAAATATAAAGCAAAATTTCGCCAAAATTAAGCAAACGTAAAACAATGGATTGCAAGCGTCCCGGCTAGTGCCTCTTTCATGCAACCATGTTCGCATGCATGTAAGGGCAACATTGGCAGGCTTGCAGTTGCGCGTGCTTCGTTGTGCAAGCGGAGACAATGGCTGTTCGGTCGAAACCAAAATCATGTCACTCCGCTCTGTCGCCTACTGGATCCCAAAATTGTATGCAAAATGCAACTGCCTAGCATACAAAAAAAAAACAAAAAAAAAAAACAGTCCAGCGGTGTGCGCTTGACAGGTCGGCAGGCGAGGTACAAGCTAAACACCCAGAAAAAAAGAACCTGAGTGCATCGATGTATGGCATCGCGAGCCAGGGTCAAAAAGTTTTTGGAGCGCTTTGTCCAACGACTGAACTCGTGGCAAACAAGCACACTCTGCGGGTTCAGCTTGCAGACATTGCCTCCTTTGCTCACTTCTCGTCACTAACTCTCTTTCGCGGCAGATTTTTTACGTATCGGGGTCCCTCTCGAAAAAGAAAGCCCACCGAGAGAAACCTATGTAATCACTACTTCGACAAGCAGTTTTTGAAAAGGGGGATTTTGGTAGTGCCATATGATTTAAACGAGAGCACGAATGTTGATGAACACGCAGCAGTAACTACGTTTCAGTTTAGAAAGCGGCATATTTGTAGCGACGTGGGGACGGCAACCCGTTACATTGCACGACCACGGTGACTGTGGTTGTGCTAGTGCTTCAGCTCACAAAGCAACTCTTGCCGCGCAAAAAAAAAAAAAAATTGGTTTTGTTCCACAGCATGACGGCATGGCCGGCACACTAACGTCAGAGCATCCGCACACGCCCGTGTGTATCGTTGAAAAAAATTGAAAAAGGCGCGAGACGAGACCACCGGACAAGAGCCCCGAGATGACATGAGAGCGCAAAACCTGAGACGGCGGGAAAAGCCATGCAAGGGGCGGGGGTGATCGGACGGATGATTG